TCTCAAGCCACTATTAATTCTAAATAAAGGCATCAGGCAGCCTCAGAGTACTCCGAGCTCTGTTAGAGATACAGTAAGTTCTTTCTGGGTACAGTCACTGAAGGGAGAAAAGGGCATAGTCCTTGCCTGATCTGTTCATGACAAAGAGAAAGAAAAAGAGTTTCTTACTCACAAATTCAGTTTGAGAACCCATTGGGAAGGACTATGAATGGAGGATGGGGAACTATTATTGCCTCACTTGGGTCATGGCTCACTCTGACTAGAAAGGTGGAAGTGTTACTAGAGATAGGGGATGCAAGGGATGCTGGGCAGACCGAGAAGTCTCCACCGGTATCATTGTCATCAATTCATTCAACAGTTATCTACTGATAATCTAGTATATGCTACACTCTGGGACACAAAAATGAGTAAGACAAATTTCTAATTACTGCAGAGAGAAAAAGATATTAAGTATTTTACAATTTTAGGAGGGAAGGCAAAATTATCATACTATAACACAGTGGTAAACAATTCTATATGGTATATATAAAATGCTATATTGTATGGTGCAGATCACAAGTGATGTGGTTGTTCTAAGGAAAGGAAAATCAATATGCTAGTCACAAACGTGAATTAGGCCTTAAACGATGGGGAGGATTTGGCTGGAAGAAGATAAGGGAAGGAATTTAGAGGAAAGAAGAGGGAATTCAGAGGAAAAGGCTACTGTGAATGGAGAGATGGAGAGAGAAAGAAGGGTAGTCAGTGAGGAGACTGACTTGAGGAAAGCAGAGTGTGTGCAGTAGGGGAGAGCTAATCACCACACAGCTAAGGCTGGTTACCCACCCTTCCTCCCTGACCAGAATAATGTTAGTGGTCTCAGGATGTTGGAAGGATCCACATGTGTCAGAATCTGACAGGAATCTAGATACCAACCCCCTGACTAATTAGCGGGTAAAGGGCAGAGTAAGATTACCCATTTGCACCAGGAAGACATCAACGGTATCAGAATACTGGGGCACCTCCCTGGTGCATAACCTTGGAGAAGGCCAATACAGCTAGAAAGAACTGCTAGAGGGTAAACTGTAACTTGAATGTTAGATAAATTAAAACTAGTTAAGAACCTCTTAAATTCCATAATTTGGGAATCTCTTCTTGACTTCCTGACTAAAATATTTTAATAAATTTCCATTGTCTTAGATGGACTAGGGCATATATGGCCCTTCTTGATCTAATCCTTGCCTACCTTTACAGCCTCATTTCCACCTCTGCCTGATGAAGTTCCAGTCATAGGGAACCATGCATGTCTCTGCAAGTTTGACCCTTCTTGCTTTCTTATGTCCCTGGGTTTCCCGTTTGAGTGCCCATTTCCTCTTCTTCTGCTTGGTTACTTCCTACTGCCCTTTAAGACTCGGTTTGAAGATTTTTTTTTTCTTTTGGAAGTGTAGGATTATGGGTGATTTATGTAGAATTTATTGACAGGGCCATGGATGCCACTGGTTGCTGCGTGGGGGTGGGCAGGTAGTGGACACCAGGACTGGGAAACTGGTGACTGAGAACCCATTCTGCAGAGATGGGAGGGATGTAGAGACAGAATGCATGTGAGCAAAAACTCTAATCCTATGGCACCTGCTTCATTGCTCCATCAAACTTCACTTACAAATCATAAATTCAAAGATAAAAATTATTAAGGATGCCATGACAGCAAATGAAGAGCATTAATTCCTAAGCATAGGGCTTTTATGAGTGCAGGGCCCTGTGAGGCTGTGCTGGCCATAAGCCCATGAATCCAACCTTGCATAAAAGTCTGTTCATACAGCATTGATTAATAGCAAAATGTAATAAAGCAAATTTTTCATTAATAAGTGATTACAAAATAAATCATGGTCCAACCACACAGCAAAAGAAATCATGTAGCCAGTAAAAAATGAGACAGATAATCTTATAGACACTAACATAGATAGCTACTTAAAATACTAAAGTAGAATATTATGCATGTAACTATCCCATTAAAATATTAAATACAGCTGGCCCTCCATATTCACAGGCTTTGTATCTGTGGATTCAACCAAGTGGATTGAAAATGTATGAGAAAAAAAGTTACGTTGTTTTTGATGTCTTATGTAGTTATGCCTACCATGGTTTCATCCAGGGGTCCTCAAACTTTTTAAACAGGGGGCCAGTTCACTGTCCCTCAGACCGTTGGAGGGTCGGACTATAGTTTAAAAAAAAAACTATGAACAAATTCCTATGCACACAGCACATATCTTATTTTGAAGTAAAAAACCAAAACGGGAACAAATACAATATTTGTAGTTGCCTGTGGCTCGTGGGCTGTAGTTTGAGGACCCCTGGTTATACTGAACATGTATAGATTTACCTTTCTTTTTTTTTTTTAATCCTCACTGAGGATATTTTTCCATTGATTTTTAGAGAGAGTGGAAGAAAGAGGGAAAGACAGAGAGAAATATTGATGTGAGAGAAACACATCAATTGGTTGCCTCCTGCAGGGGCTGGGACCAGGGCCCGGGCCTGGGGAGGAGCCTGCAACCAAAGTACATGCCCTTGACCGGAATTGAACCTGGGACCTTTCGGTCTGCAGACCAATGCTCTACCCACTAAGCCAAACTGGCTAAGGCCATACTTTTCTTTTTGATCAGTATTTCCTAAACAATACAGTATAACAACTATTTACACAGCATTTACATTGTATTAGGTATTATAAATAATCTAGAAATGATGTAAGTTATTCTGATGGATGTGCATAGGTTATATACAAATTCTATACCACTTTACATAAGGGACTTAAGCATCTGAAGGTTTGGGTGTGCATGGAGATTCTGGAACTAATACCCTGCAGATACCCAGAGACAAATGTATATAGAAGAATGTTTATCTAAAGCAGGGGTGGGGGTGAGAAACCAAGATGGCGGCATAGGTTAACGCCGAAGATTGCTGCCTTGAACAACCAAATCAAAATACACCTAAAAGACGGAACAGACATCATTCAGAACCACAGGAAGGCTGGCTGAGTGGAAATTCTACAACTAGGAGGAAAGAGTATCATATCCAGACTCAGAGGAGGCGCAGTGCTGAAGTGAAATACTCAGGTACGAAGTGCGCGCAGAGCGGGCTGGTGGCAGAGGGCGCGAAACGGGAGGGAGTCTCAGATTCTGAGCTCCAGATCCCGGCGAGTTTCTAGGGACCCAGACTCAAACGGGAGAAGCGGGACTGTCTGGCTTCAGTCGGAACTTGAAGGCAGCTTTCTCTCCGAGGTTTGCAGCGGTTGCTGGGACTCTGTGAGGCAGAGCCCCTAGGGACGGAACTGAGAGCTGTCATAACTGCTCTCTCCGCCCCACCCTGTTGATCTCGTGCGACCCACCCGCCCCGCCCAAGCCCTGCGCAGAGCCATTTGCCAGATAGTCTCAGGCAAAGGCTAGATTAGCACCTCCCTAGAGGACAGTAGTTCTCTCACTGCAGACACAGCTGATTCTCACAGCCACTTGGCCTGGAGCCAGAACCCCCCCTG